GACGCGTGGGTACACTGCCGTCAGCGTACAAGACATGTATGGCCTGCATTGTATGGCGTAAGCGATGTATTTGGAAGGCACTGAACGATGCAAATGGGCGGCTCTCTAATGATTTATCATGTTGTGTACTCTATACAAGACGTCCGATATAGACGGACTTCTCCTGAAAGGATCGGTTTGCATGCTTGCCTTTCCCGCTTTATACTGGTCGCGCTTTGACCAGCAGGCCGTTGCACTTGTTCAGGAACCTTGGCCTGGTGCCGGTGGTGGTGGCGACGGTGTTGAAGTTTACCTTCTACATCACCAGAACAGCATGCGTCCAACCATGTGTTCCACAATGGGAATGAAAGACATTGAAGCATCGACTTTCTTAACGTGTGTGCCACCAGAACAGGAGAACATATTGTCAGGAGAACATATTGTCACAGGCGTACACGGAGCACGAAGGCGCAGAAAGGTGTACGTTGTTGGCGTACACCGGCAGTTCGCATCAGTTTCGTGCAAACGCACCTGTTTTGCGAAGCTGAAAGGGTGTAGCAGTACCTCTCTTTCGCAACTGAAAAGTGAAATACGCGTGCAATTTACTATTTTGTGCTTCTGTCATTTGTTGGGGTATATATTTGTATTTAGCACGGATAGTGTTCACATTATATCTGACATTGCATCCTGTTTGCAGGAAGGTCCTCAAAATTCTAAAAACTTCATCGAAAAACCATACACATTTTAGTAAAGTCATTCAGTATACAGTACATTAAAGTAAATGTAAAACAAAACATAAGCACTCCTCCACACATCATTTTAGAAAATGGTCCTCAACCTTTCCCCAAAACGTTTAAGCACATGCCCTACTCTTGAAAGTGGCTTTCCCCACTCACTTAACCAAACACACATTGCCCGTCGCTGTAATCCGGGGAGACACTGTTCCAAGCTGCTGTGCCACGGAGGGGAAAGCGGCTCTGACCCGCTTCATTTCAAATGGATGGCAAATGAAACGACTATGGCAAACGTCACGCACAACACAGATTGATTGTAGGAGCCTTGCTAGTTGAGTTAGCTCCTCAGTGACCATGCTGGTGTAGGAAGGTTAAACCTTTATTCAGAACCGAGCAGCGGAAGAATTACATAACGTAGCCTGACACACGAGCTCTCAAGTCTTTAAACAAAACCCCCATGCCCGGCGTTGCAGTCCCGTGGACCTCGCGGCGTTGGCCTGCTGCTGACACTAAGCGGTGACTGGTGAGCAGTCGAAAATGACAACGCTTCTGAAACAAGCATCTTTGAACGCTTTAGGATGTCAATACGCACGTTTAGAGGCAGACTTGTATTTGGTTCGAGCTGAATCATGAGTCGGCTCATGAGTCAATCAATTTGGGGTGATTCGTGCGCACAGTCGGCTCACTAGCAAAAATGCCGCTTTGGATCATGAGCTAAATCACACTTTTTTGTAACTTACATTGGATGTATCGCGAGCCAATCATTTCTAAAAATGTTGCGTCAGTGAGCCGCATGGCTGAAATGAGGATGGTAATATGAGGAAACACGGCATGCCCCAGACAAAATGGACGCATCATTCAGAGCATCAAAATGAACAGGATTTGGCATTACTTGTCAAGCACTCTGTAATTCCACCACAAAGTTTGTTATAATTTCTTAATAGCAAACACAATATTGTTGATCCTCACCTAAAGCCGGCAAACTCTCAGTCAGGAACCAGAAGGCATCACATGGTACAGATACCCTGCATTCATGCATCCCTTGCTAAAATCTGTGAAAGCTGGTTGTTGCCTATAAGATCTGAGGAAATAAGCTAGTTTAATTCTTAAAAATTACCGCCAGCGGATGGTTCCTTCAGATTTTCCTCCTACGAGTTTTATAAAGGCTGCGTTCGATTTGTCGTCAGAACGTCTGTCAGCTGGAACGCGCGACGTCATGCATGCTGACGGAGTATTGAATGTGCAGGCTGACGGGAAAGCTTTTAACTTAACTTTTTCCTTGTTATTTTTACCTTTACTTCAGACCGCACACAAACACTGGCTTACCGCAGGACCACGACACACCGCAATGCCTATAAAGTGGCGTTAAAAAGTGTGGCTTCTGTTCCGGTATTACCATCGCGTATCCAATCCGTATGTTGAGTGCTTCCTCCCATTTCCAATTCATTTCAATTTCTTCCCTCTCATTTCAAATGTTTACTTATAACGCTATTAATTTTACTGGGGAACGCAACCACACACCTCGCGAATCACTGTCACCCAACTCCGCTTGGCTACTCTTGGCATTTCAATACCCTGCCTTATATATCTTACGTCGCACTTGTCGCACGTCACACATCCCCCAAAATATGAGTTAAGTGCCCCTACCCCCACCTAGCGTACTCGCCACCGGAAGAGCTACCAAATAAAACTCCCGTTTCTTTGCCAAAGTGTTTTTTTAATATGGTAGCGCTTTCTCTCTATGCTGAAAACTGACAAAAATCGTGGCATCATCGTCAGCCGGCGCGTGACGTCACGAGCCAGGTGACTTCGTGGTCACGTGACGTGACGCAGGGAGAATACTAGGTCGTGACTGCTGCTGGCAAACACGCTGACGACAGATCGAACACGGCCAAAGCTCGGAGCAAACACTCTCCTCCACGAGAATCCCCCGTCGTCGGGAGCGGTTTCCCGGCACCGAGTTTTATATACAAAATGTGCGGCGTGAAGTGCAATGGTAAATTTGCAGTTATTGTAGACAATGGGCCGATAAAATTCCACCCCATAGTCGCCTTTTTTAACCGGGCCGACGTGTGCTGTCACAAGGTGTCCTAATTAGATTGTAATGGCTCAGAAACCTA